TCAACATGATGCTCATGTAAGGTTGTAAATTATAAATACTCGACAACATTATAGCATTGTCACGCATACCACGAACTACACGTATTCTATCCGTTATCCTTCACCACTTCCCAAAACCGATCGGAGCTAACAGACAGTTCAGGGCCTACCTTGATCATCGTCATAACTTCAACAGATTAACTCGAGATACTGCAAGAAAAAGTTATAACCATACTATCACATAACTGACGAGCATAAGCACCACCGATTTACTGTTCGAGTGTGAGAGCTCTACATATTCCGAGATTTGACAAAATATTACAAATTCAAAATCTTTCCGGATAATCGCTCATAAACCTGTGTGATTATCATCCAACGAAGAAATTACCTGAGATTCGGTGGAACGCCCTGTGCGATTGGATGATAGAAGATGAAACCAGCGTGCGGCATCACTGAAGTTGAACTGAAACCCGTCAACGCTTTCTTCTGCGCGCCTAACACTAGGACGCTAGATGCCGGTAGATGAGCCAACGGTGCCAAGCACACAATTTCCCAACAATTAAATCAAACTCACTATTTGAGGTGCATCTTCGTGCATGAAATCACCAAACAAACAGCAATATTAAACGTTAAACAAATCGAAGTCTTCCAAAACTGGGAAATAATAGTCATTGCGCGCACAAAAAGAGACTATGGGAATACTTCAAAGGATGTTACATAATGGTGTCGATCCTTTATTCAACAAAGTTCTCCTCAATTCAATTTATTATCACTCCAACTCGCTGAGACTACCGCTAAATTTAAAAAACAGGTGACGGATATGGTCAAGATTATGTGAAGACTTCAAAATCCGATGNATATATGCTTGTGATCAATAAATGCTGCCACTCACTAAATATCACAGACAACACAACATCAATTATCACAAACCTCCAGCTTTCGAATCCACCACAGCTGCTGTACCTGCACCCAATATCTCACATAAATCGGCGCTATCAACGCCATCCTCGATTCCACCAAACGATACATATTCAATCGGTCGTTGTGCATCTTCTCGGCCAGATTGCATGCTTCCTCAACTGCGCTTAGTTCTTCGGCGTCCAGTGGTTTCCCTTGAGTGGTCGATGTATATATCAAGAGTATGAAGGTATGAAGGCCGTGTATATCAAGAGCAGTACAACTGTATACGGAAAATAAAAGAGACTCATGGACTGAGCTTCAAAACGAGATATCAGGTAAAAAATCAAACAGAGCGACATACCGGAAGGTCGCTTGAAATCTGCGATATGTTGTTCTCTATTTGCTCGTGGGTGCCTTCATAACAACGGATGAACAAAAAACGCAAAGCAACATGATGATGCGGCACACCCGTAGATGACGCACCTTAAAATACGTAAATGAACAGGATCAAGAATTGATAATGCAAAAGCATTGGTCGACCTGTCGGAATCATTTTAGGTTAATTTTATGGCCAAAATATTTAAAAGTGTTCATTCTCCATGTTCACAAATGAGTAAATGCCAATA